CTCAACAACACAGAGGCATGACTACACTGGCGGTGAAAGAGGGAATACAAGCCCACAGATCTGTCACCGTTACACCTACAGCATCAGGCATCAGAACAGAGGAGCAACAGTTTAAGGACATAAACATTCCCCTCTGCCATAAACTGCTCCTATTTGCTCTGCCCAAAATATAAGCTGTTCTACACAAGAAAATCTAGAAACTACAGTTAGAAGAAGAAAGCAAGGCTATTTTAAAGTAGCCTTTCTGAAGTCAGTAAGGCTCCACCAGTGTCATGAAATGGTCACGAAAGGCTTTTCCTTTTTCTCTCCTTCCAATTGCTTGCTCTACGCTAGTTATCTCTTGCAGTTTGAGGTTACTAAGCCAAATATTGCAAATGGAGAGGCTGCAACCTGCGTAAAATAATCATTTGATTTAAGAACCAGGCTCGGTGGATTCCTTTTTCCCTCCTTAGTGGAGATAAAAAGAAGGAGCACATTCTAGCAATCCCTGATCATTTTCATGGCCATTCTTGCACCTGTAACTCAAATAATGAAGCCATTTGTTATTTATATTGCAGTTTCCCCTCTATTCTAGATTTCTAACGATCTGAGTCTGTTTTACGGCCCTGACACAGCCCGAAACTGGTGCAGAGTTCCAATAATTGAACGATATAGGGAAAAATCTTTAACGGGAATGAAGCAGATGTTAGCTTCATGCAGTCCTCTAACTTGATTATTCTTTGGACACGTTAGACAAGCATTAGTGATTGATAATGACGCTAATTAACCCCTTTCCTTTCCAAAACAGCAAACCAGTGCCAGCAGGATTCTGCAAACAACACATATAAAGCACTGCATATATCAATATCTGCTTAAAGCAGATCAGTGATGCAGTTTCACTGCCCTCTGTTCCACAACATCTTCTCCCACAGACACTGAGCAGGGTCCAAAAACGCTCCAAGAGTTAACAGCTCCTGCCACTTGCAGCGCGCGGAGCAGAGACATAGCTGTTTGCTTCAGAAAAGGTGCACAGGACGGAACCAGACGCCCGATCTATTTTTCACACTGAGAACCTCTCGCGTTCGGTTATTGAGCTGTTTAAGTCACTTCGCCCTTGCTGGCTGGGATGGGCTTCGCGTTGCTCCCTGTCAGAACGACATTTATTATTTTAGCTACACTTTTTGAATGCAAAGGCTGCCACGGGGAGGAATCTGGTTTGGGCTGAGATATGTAGATAGTGATGAGGGAGAGGGAAGTGCCCATTGTGGAATTTAGATATGAGGTGGAATACGCGTAAACAAACAAGGAGTTGATCTGATTGTGCAGTCAAATTTATCATGGACAATAAAAAGATTGCCTTTAAATGTAAGGGTCTGGATAAATGAATACTCCTAGCAAGTGAATAAAATGTATTCAATTAACTAAAAACCTCGTGCACTTCTGAACTGAAGTGGAATCGACTGTAATTGATTTATTTGAAACCAGAGGTTAAGGACTGAATTAGCTAAGTACAACTGGGTATTTCAAGCCACTGACTTCTCAAATGTCAAATCCCTTCTATTTTAAATATTATTTCAGCTGCAGGGCATTGCTGTCCTGATGGCTGTTCCACCAGTTAAATCTCAAATTATATTAATATTCGATTTTTGGAGGGTGGGGTAAATTACGGTACAAAGAGGAGGGTTCTCCTTATTCATGGTGAAAGAGCACTGAGCTGCATTTTGGTTCACATGTGGAAATTAGCCTAGCGTGGCAGCAGTGGTCTAACATTCAGCCACTCTCCCTAGTTTCAGCCAATCTGGGGAAAAAAAACGACAGCACATTTTTTGTTAGTATATAAAAGCATGACCTAGAATTTTACTGTCGTGCATTGATCACACGCTAAAAACGCATCCAAAGAATGCTAGAGTAATTAGCACGTTTTAGCAACTGCACATTGGTCACAGCAGAAGAGGCTAAACTGAAGCTAGTCTAATTTCCATTATCGCCTGTGAAATCCTTCCTTCGAAATAATAATAATAAAAACATCTATGCAAGGTCATTTCGTTTCTGTTTTCTGGTGGCTTGCTAATGCAGCAGAAGGATACTTAAAATGTGCTCTCCTAGCATAAAGCAGCTAATTATATATTTAAAACATTATTTATTATGACCTTATAATGTTCTAGCATAAGACTGCTTTATACATTGCCCAGTATAAAACGATTATATTGGGTACAGGTTTCAAAAAGTAACAAGCATCTGTAAATCCAGATATGAATGAATGGTATTTAATAAGATTGTTTTCGTTTAAAAATGAGTATTTATGTGTTGCTGTAGAAAGAGCAGCAATGTATTGCTGTTTATGAATGCTATTGTGCCTGAGGTTAGGATCCCACACACAATCTGAGATGCAGCCAAGAAAAACAGCCCTGATAGACAATGCTTCACTTCACCTGCTACAATACTGTGCATTTCATTTATGTCAAGAATATGTACAGTTAGGGTTCATTCACCTCATTATTTTGTTACATCTACTTTACAGTTAACCAGTCTCTCTTGGAAATAATAAATAACTATTTTTAAAACAATTGCAGATTTGCATTCAGAAGATCCACTTTCAATTTATAAGAAAAAAATATCTACCATTTTTATAAACTGGCTGGCTTTCCAAAATAGAATTTAGACTCCACCAACTCTCTTTCTGCTTGGCAAGATTGATTTTACACTGCCTTCCATAAGTAGATTACCAAAGCAAAATGAAACATCTTGGGCTTTATCTAATGCTTTGCTTCACCAGCCCTACCAAACGTCAAAATATATAAGCAAATGTTAATTCTCTTTGCAGCCTCATTGTAAACACCTCCCTTGTAACCTCCTCAATTTCTGCCTGACTAAAAGAAAAAATGAGAGAGAGAGAGAGACAGAGACACACAGAGAGAGAGAGAGGGAGAGAGAGAGAAATCAGCCACCACCACCAAAATATCATCCGCACTTAAAGGAGACCATCTCTGTAAAATGCCTTCACATTCTAAACTGCATCAGCCTCTTTCTCCTATGATTTAGTACAAACCAGTATGATTCTGACTTCACCTACTGCTTGGGCCAAAGAAAATGGATTCAAAACCAAAATCCTCACGTGTTTTTACAGCATAACTACGAGATGTACACTCCATTTTTAAAGCAAACTTCCCTATTGTACAACGAGTTTCCACAAGAAGGAAGAAACTTAAGACAAAAATTCCACTTCCTTATAAACTGACACAGCCTCCTCAAAATGTCAATCTGCGCGTTCCACTAAAACACAAACCGTCAGTCAGAAATAATCCGTCTCCCACAAGATTTCACTAAAGTTCAAAAGCGTGAGATGATTTTGTTGGCCATAGACTACGGAGCTTTTTTTTTTTTTTGGAGGGGGAGGGAGCACCCAGTTCTGATTTGCCAGTGCATCATTTTTTTAAAGCATCTGATTTTCAGCGTTTGTTCAGTAATGATTTATTCTTTTTAAAATGTTCTTCTTGAGATAGTTAATATTTTTATTTATCTCCACTCTCTGTTAGGACAACTACATGTACAAAATTATAGGCTTATAATTCTGTACACTAGATATAAATAAAAACCTAGAGGTCAACATAAATAAAATAAAACTTTATTTTTTAAATAAAATTATGTTTTGGTTAAAGAAAAGATAGTGTGTCATTTTGTTAGTAGTACAGACAATTTTTTATCCAAAAGAATACATTGTGCTTTATTGTGTCATTTGTCTGAATACAGACTCAGTGGAATATCTAAATGATACCCTGCTCTGAACTCCAAGTTGAAAGTAAGTTTTTATTATACTTGAGGGAAACAATGGGTTCAGCTGCTTATTGCAAGGAGCAATTGTCAAGGGAGAGTTAAACTCAATTACTGTAACCATACTGAATAAAAAATACTGCCAAGAACAAAAATACGCCTGGGTAAAGACAGCCACTGAATAAAAAAATCGACATAAAGCGTATCAAATATTTATTTATCTGGGCAACAAAGGACTATGATACATTGACAGGCATGGAAACTACTGCCGGCACAACTCAATACAATACAACTATAACTGCTTCCAATATGGCCAGTGGAAATACAGAAAACCAGGTGGTCCCAAATGTTTGAAGTTCTTTGGAAAAAAAAAGAAAAAAGAAGAAAAATAAAAGAAAAGGGGAAAGAAAAAAGAGAAAAAAGGGAAAGAAAAGCTAAATCTTGATTTAAAAGACAGTATTAATTTATTGCTCTGATGGTACTTTCAGGAGGAGGACTGTGGATGAAAATAACTTCTTCTTTTATTTTCCACAACACATAACGGTTGTAAAACCACTAACATGTTTAAAAATCTTGCCGGGGTCCAACATCACTTAATTTTTTCTTCAATGAGAAACTAAATGATACTAATCATATATAAAAATTCATGTTTTTTTATTTGTTCAGCTGCTTCATTGTCGCCTTTAACATGCTACAACAGGGCTAAAAATGATGAATCCCAGAGAAAAACCCCCAAAAAACCTCTGATATCTAAATAAGTACCATGAACCACATGATGAACTAAGAGGGGAAGATTTAAAACCCACTAAACAAGAGGTAAACGAGATCACCAGATAAATAAAAAAGGCTTAAAACAGACTCACCATATTTACAATTCCCATTAAATTACACATAAATAAATATATACATACATGAACACTGATTCCCTTATATAATAACCGTGAATCGTGTTGCAATAGAAAGTTCAAGTTGGTCGCTTTACCTTGGACAGGAAAAAGTTCTACAACTGAAGATATGACATGGAACTGCTTGTGTTTTGTGTTCAAGTTTATTCACAATACTGATAAAATGTCATCAGTCCTTTTTGCTTTTGTTTGTTTGTTGTTGCTGCTGCTGTTGTACTTTTTTCGCTTTTTTCTTTTTTAATATGGCTACAATCTTAACTGAAGTTTATGTAAGGGAAGGTGGTGATTCAGTCCGGTGAAGCTCATAGAATTTTTAAAGTATTATTTATTTCTTTTTGTTTTTTATTTTTTTATATATTTTTAGAAAAAAGGTCCTTTTCTTTTTTGTTTTGTTTTTGTTTTTTTTCCTCCTTTTGTTTTATTTAAAAAAAAAAGTTCACAAACTCAAGACAGAACTTTTTTCTTTGCTGGCTCCGTCCCCCTGTTCTGTTCTCTTAGGCTCCAAACTCGGGTAAAACGACGGTGGCGGTGGGGGGGGGAGGGGGCGACTTAAATGGGAGCAAATGGAAATGTGGATGCTGGGAAGGGGTGTGGGGAGAGGGCAGAGCAGTCTTGCAGAGTCAGAGAACAGGATGGGCAGAAGGACACTGATCCTGTTGCTGTAGCCTGGGGTGCTGGGTGCAGGGAAGAGGGAGGAGGATTGATGGCTATATGGGGGAAGGGAGAGGAGTTGCAGGGGGGAGGGGGGGATCCTCACTTTCGGTGCTTCTCCTCTTTGTCGCCGCTTTTGGTGCTGTTGTCTGTGTGGCTGTTGGGATTGTTGCTGAGGTACATTTTGTCCATGGCCTTGAGCGCCTCAGTGAGATAGTTCTGCAGGGCGGTGACTGCAGCGCACACTGCCGGGCTCCCGAAGCCGTGTGAGATGAGGTTGAAGTGGGTCAGGCAGCTCTGGATGCCCGGCTCCAAAATGGGGTTGGGCCGCGAGTTCCCCAGGGGAGATCGGTCCTGAGCCAGCAGGTCGGTGAACTCTTTACAGATCTGTCTGTAGCACAAATGGAGCAGAGAGACAGAGAGAGCGAGGGAGGGAGGGGAAGAGAGAAGGAGAGAAATGAACCATCACTGTCGGCTGCAAAGCCCATGCATGCTCCCTGCTAGATTACACAAGCCCCTGGATCAAGGGGACTACTGCCCCTGAGCGCACATACGCACTCCTCCTGACACCTCTCCCTCCCTTCTCCATATCCTTTCCCCTAATTCTCACACCTCCCAGGCACGCACAGACCTCTTCCCTTCACCTCGCATGCACCCACAACTGTGCACAACATCACACCCCAGTCAATACGCTGGCAAATACACACACACACACACACACACACACACACACACACCCCTTCTGCCTACCCAGCTGACCCCCGTATCGCTTCCCCCTGACACATACACACACCCATTCGGAGTAGGATTTTGGCACAGAATCAATAAGCAGTTTAAAGCGTCCCAGCAATATGGAAGAGAATAGCTGGGGTGCAATAACCATAGGGAGGTTCAGGCATTTATTCACATTTTGGAAGATCCCTTTTTGAAACTGGAGAAACTCAGATCTCTCCCTCCACAAGGCTAAAATACGCTTGTGGGTCAGGAAAAAAGACAAGAGTGAGGGCGGGGAAGGGAATCGAGGCTTTAAATTAGGGTATTCCGAAACATTTTAATGTGTACATCTATATCTCCAAATCCAAAGGGACCTTCCCACAGAGGGGAAGGCTGACGCTAACTGGGGTCTGGAAATTTCCTTCCAGGGAGGTGGAAAGAGAGGATAGAAGGGTACGGAGCAGAAGTTACATTTTATCATTTACTTGCTGTTCAAACGGTTGGGGAAATAACACACCTTATCGCAAGAGCTTAGAGGCGTGCTGAAACAGTGTGTATTCTAAAACCGGCATTAATGTCTTCCAGCCATAAACTGGCTCCCATCTTCTGCCTGCGCCCTCTGGCACTGTGCCCTTTGGTGACACCTCCATTGGTAATTAAGGGCTACTAAACAACCCTTTTAATTTCCAGCAAACATATCAAAACAATCATTTTCTTTTCACGCACCACCTGGAAGTCTAGTCAGCCCCACCAGTGATAAACTCCACTAGCATTTTAACTGCGTACAGATTGCCGTTTAAAATATATTTTTAATATCCCTACACTCACTAAGTAACCGAGCTGCTTAGGAAGAAAGAGCCATTGCAGATTTCAATGAATCGAAATCAGCCTAACGTGCCAGTTTTATTTTACTGTCAAAGGGAAGCCTTCCCCTCCTGTCTACATTGATAAGCTAAGTGAAAAGGCCCAGAAAATGGTTGGCTTTGAAGAATTATTGTTTCTTCTTTAACTAAATATCTATCCACAGTTTTCACAACTCACTTTCAAGGTAATCTGCATAAGCTGATGGAAACCAAGCTGGGCTACACAGTTCTCCTACAGCAAGAGGATAGATACACCCCCTTACAATTTGCAAGGCCATTAGCCACTGACTACGTGGCAAACACGCACAAACATAAGCCCCAGACACAGGTTTGTCCCCCTCCCCTCACAACTGAATAACATGCCAGAAAGGTAGATGTCTTACTTTGTAGCTAGAAGCATGTTTTTTCTTGTGACTTGCTCGTTTGGATCGGAATGTTGTCGGTTGAGAAATTCAGCTACTGCTTTGGCAGGAAATTCTGTCTCACAAACGTACCCAAAATCTCTAGCTAGATGTACTGCTTCTCCTGAAAAGGGAGGCGTGGGTGGGAGTGGGAGGGAAACATACATCCGATCAATATACATAGCACAAAGGCAAACAAAATCCATTAGGGGAAAAAAAAGAGCTATTTTCACCTTGAACGTTTCTTCTAGAAAGATTTGGACATTTTTCTTTTTAAAAAGGTACGCAAGAAACAATAATCGCATCTCATGTTGTTAGAATTTTCTTTGCTTCAGACTAGGGCCAGGCAAAAATATATGTTCAAGACAATTGTTACGAGTGAAATCACACATATGCATTTTCTAAAGTTCCTACTGACTAACAGATACTTCTAGACAGGCATGCCGTATCCACCTAGAATGTGTGCTTATATTTACATGTAAATATGTAAGCACACACACCCATCCATACATTTCATTCACAGCTATTTACTCCGGAGATACTTATTTGCCTTAAGTACATGCCTCTATATTCTTTTGCAATGCATCAATGATTAATATTGATCATAATTACTCCTACAGCTCTTCTAAATAAAATGCATTAAACAGCTAAGTGTTTAAAATTTAACTTGATCGCATATAATTATACGTTCACCCCCCAAACGATTAACCATGAGAATTTTAGGGTCATTCCACCCAGTCTGTCTGTTTTGTTGATTTTCAAATCTTTGGTTTTAATTTCCTGAACCAGTTGGTTTTTACTGCAGGGCTTCCTGCCATTAGCTCTAGCTCCGGAAGAACGCATGCGCCAATTAGAGCTTCAAAGCCTCAGTCCAGTGAGCTTGTTTCCATAAAATGGAGCGGATCATAAACAATAACAGTACTCTAGAAACTGCCTCATCGCTACAGGACTCAAAGCCCAAGCACTGTTTATACTATCATCTCCCCCAAAATTAGCCACCATCACTAAGTTATCTGGAGATCAAGCCTGCCTGTTTTGTTTTCTAAAAATCATTCTTTTAGAGCCATTCTATGTGAAAGCCAAACAGAACAATAGATTACCATAAAACGTTCTCCATATTCATTAACATCACAAATACATGTTAAGCATCTACCAAATCTAGACTTTTTACAAGTTTTTCCCTCCGGATTTTTTACTATAGTGTGTTGATGCAATTGCAAAGCCTTTTCAAAAACATGAAGACAGTAATTTTCACGTAGTATAAATATAATGCAGCTAATAATCTGAATGCTAAAAAAAAAAAAAAGAAGTCTGGCCTTGTGCAGCACTTCTCTCCCCATCCTTTTGAACATTTAGCGTTTCTAGCAGAATGCAAAGTGACAACAAAACAAAGCTACAAATTCCCTCCTACGCAGCCCAACTCAAGCTAACCTGCGCATCCAGGCTTGAGGTTAAAAGCACTTTGCAGATTAAATCACTCTAAAATGTTGTCAAATCAAAACCAAAAGCGAAGAGAAAGGAGCAGGATATATTTCGCGGACTCCGGTTTACCTTGCGCCAGTAACTGTAATGAAGTAACTGTTTTGAAATAAAATGACTTTGAGCTCCACTCTTTGAGCTCCCCACATCTGAGTTCCGAAAACAGGGGACACCTGAAGGCGTTAAAAGAAGTTGCACCTTTTCTTGCCAGAGCAAAGTAGAGGAGAAAGATATAATGAAGGGAACATATGTTCTGAAAATGAGAACCAAAAGGGGGGGGGGTGCAACTTTGAGGCTTTCAGGACACCATTAATTCATGGCTTAGGTCAAGGATTCCCAAATTAATTCAGGAAGTAATGGTCACGCATTTCTCAAATGCAGATGTCAGAAATCTTAAATGATTTACTGTTACGTTGTTGGGGGGGCACTAAAAAATAGTTTAAAAGGTAAAAAAAAGTTAAGAAGGTAAAAAAGTTAAAAAGTTAAAGTAAAAAAAGTTTAAATAGTAAAAAATGTTTTAAAAGTGTAAAAAGTTAAAAAAAAAAGTTTTTAAAAAATAGCTGAAGTTTTTGTTATTTCAAATCGCTTAGTTGTCCACCGGTGGAAGGAGGACAGTACTGGAAGAACTGTAGTTTCTGTTCCCTGTCACTTTCAACTCGCGTTACATTTCTGGGTCTGAGCCTGCAGCCCTTGTTCTCATGGATCCTTCCTATGCTGCTTCCAATGAAACCAATTTACTCTGGGGAGGGATTACTCACTTGAATAAGGGAGCAAGACGGGACCCTGAAAACGTCTAGTTCAAAGACTTAAAAGCAAATAAACGGTGGAATGCAATGCTGAGCCTGCAGGATTCATTTAAGTTCGTTTCAGGTTAAAACAAAAGGCAAAAATACACAATTAACATTTGTCTGAGGCACAAAGATTAAACCAAATAATGCCCTTCAAATTTCAAACACAGAGCACCGACTTGAAAAAAAACACGGAGTCTTATCCCGTTAGGCAAAAAAAACACACACATTTTCCAAATGAACCCTCTCCGGGCTTTGAGTCACTTACCCTCCACTAGCGATGTGAGTAAAGTAACATTAGCAGCTTTGCGTCTCCCGGCTGGCAGGTTTAATCCTATTTTGTCCAGTTTTTCTCTCAGAGATCTCCCTCCATTTTTAGACTTCGCCCTGTTTCACACATAAAGCCACTTAGAACAAGACTAACAGGGCACCAGGTTGTATTTCAGTTCCCTTCTGTAAATCACCCCAAAACATATTTGAAAAGCATGTTTCCCAGGGAAAGATACTGGGAAAAAGTTTTCGGGGGACGGCTGGGCGGGTGAGCGAAGAGCAAAAATTGCTGAAAGCAAAATCGAGTATACAGCGTACCTGTGCTGATCTAAGGGAATTGGGCTGACTTCACGCTTAAACTAGCGTGGATTTCAAAAGTTTTAATGTCTGGGTAGTTATTTACACCTCCGTGTAATCACCACAAAAAAAAAAAAATCATTTTTGAACTCTCAACACACTACAGCCCCAAAAAGGGAACTTTTAAAGCCAGCTATCTTGCGAGAGCTATTGCATTATTTAGAAGACTAATTTGAAAGGTCCAAAGCCTACATCACCATTATGGGACTTCACTGAGTTCGGCAAGTAGATTAATCTCTAAATAGCTTATCTACCACTTTTCGACAGAGATGGGTTAAGACAAATCATTGAAATGAAAGTTTTGTTAATTAATTCTGGATTTTATTCCCTACCCAAGTGCTCTTTAATTGTCTGGATTAGATTATAACCCCTAGGTAACTAGAAGAAGG